GTGCTCTGTGAGCACCAGGAGGGCTTCAGCCTGACAGACAGCATCAGCAAAGCTGTCCCCAGAAAGCACCCAAGTCACCCACCACGCAGCTGAAGCAATGCCTCAGCCACCCCAAATGGCTAAGGGGTTCCCACATTCCAATCAACAGCTTTTTCCCACTGTCCACATCAAGCATCAAGAAAGGAAACAGAACCAAACTCATTAAAATGCTTTTTCAAAAATCATGCATATAATATATATGTATATGTGATTTTCCAAGAGTGTGTGTATACCAAGGATTTTTTTAAAGAAAACACAAAGAGAGATGGTGCAAGTCAGCACATGGATTTGGTGGGAAATCACCTATTTTATCGTATCGCATGCTCTCAGGCTTGAATTCTTAGAAGGGGCTGAACTGATGTAATGAGCAGGCACTTCTCAGGATACAACACTTCTGCGCTTGCTTTCTGTAGAGCTGCCAGGGATGATACCTGTGACAGACCCCATTCTGTCTACTGCTTTTCTAACACTCCCCCTATTTCTGGAGTTTTCTCCATAGCCACATCCTACCTCAGAAGAAGGACTTGCCCCTATTTACAGTGGTGTAGGACCTTCCTGCAGACTTGCAGTGTCAAGATGTGTCAACATTACATGGAGCAGCATCACACAGCAACTGGCAGTCACCAAGCTGTCCCAACTCCATCTGCACCCTGAGGAGATGCTTCAGCACCCACCACCTGCTTCTCCTTCCTGTAAGAGCTCAAGAAGTGACTTCATGCACTGAGAGATGGAGCTGTTCTCAGAATGAAACCAATAGAGACTAACAGAGAGAACCAACAGGGAATAATATTGCCGTGCTGGATGTGGAAAAGATGTAATCCACCTAATGGCAAGAAAGAGCACTACTAGGATTGCTTGGAGCATCTTCTGAAGAAAATTCTGGATCAAATTGAAGACGTGCTTAGCTCTTTCCCCATTCTTCTCAAATCTTCTGGATTCCTTCCAGCCATTACTTACCTTCCCTGCTTCTATATCTTGCTCTGAAAATTGATGTCTCCCTTGCGATGGTCTGCAATAAGCAGCCTCTCCTCCCACTTGGCAGCTTTGCAGGAAGCCAAGGTCCACACTCTTCTGCCCTTGGTCAGTCCAGAAAAATAAGCTTATTCTCTCCTTTGCCTTTAGAGCTGGGAGTGCAAAACACTCCCATGAGAGACACCTGCCATAACCTGAGCGTGAGCACCAACCAGATGGTGTGATCCCACAGGGGGCTGGTAGAGAAGCATGGGAAACTCCCTGGCAGCAGTGCCTGGGGATTAGGAGATGCTCGGATCTCCACATAGCAGCCACTAGCCCTGGCAGTGCCTAAAGGAAGGGACAGGGCTTTGGTCATGTTGTAACAGTGCCGACAGACCCAGTTTAAGCTTCACAGAGATTGCTGACCTCCTGCAAATGCGGGGGGTCCACGACAGGGCAGGGAAAGGAAATCTCTGCAGCATCCTGCAATTCTAGATAACACAAATTTGCTGTAAGGATAGGCACAGCAAGAGCAGTGAGAGGTGGCCAAGCTAATTAACAGCCACCGGCTGACTCCTCTGGCTGCTATTCCTTGCTCCAGAGACTTAAAAGACTTTGATAGCCTTTTACAAACATGAAGTCCCCCCTTCACTGATGTCCTTATCTCAATGCATGAGATAAGAGAAGCTGGGGCAGAGAGCAAAACCACAGGAGGACTCACCAGGAGAGCCACAGTTAGAAACTCAGAGCTCCTCCAAAGAGACCATTAGCTCCTCTTAATTATCCCCTAACGCTGAATTATTGCAAATATCCAGAGTTCCTGTGTTCCAGGTGACCAGTCACACTGTGCCTCGTCACAAGTGGGCAATTCACACCGCACCTCTCCTTGGAAGGAGAGCTGAACCTCCCAGAGTCTCCTTCTCCCCCATGTTTGTAAGAAGTCTGAGATAAATAAACAGCAACAATAATTTTAAGAAGAGACAAAAAAAAATTTAACAAAAGTACCTACTATTCATGTTCTGAGTTTTCTTATTTTAATCTCTCTCCTTGTACTGTAATGCCACTATAAAGTTCAGTGGTCCGTAGAAAACTTCAGCAAATTCAGAAAACTCAGGACCTACGGTTTCTACATGTGTATACACAGAGGCACCAAAAACCCACAGGCAAAAAACATATGGGCAGAAGGAAAAAAATAAAATTAAACCTTTCTCAGGCCTTCTTCAACATAACACCAAGAATCAATGAAGAAACACCATCCAATTTGTTTCCCCCCAGTGCTGGTCACCCTTAATAGAAAAGTCACTCCCTGTACAACACCTGCCCTGTCTGCAGTTCTCATAAGCAGCACGTCGAGCGTCGGTGACCGCAGCAGTTGCATGCTGTGACAACAAATAAAGTTAGAAGTCTGCCCAAAACACCTCCCAGCCCTCTGGCCAGTGTTGGCTGGGAGCACACAACCAAGCAAGGGAGAAAACCCAAGGTTCGGGGCTCCTGAGAAAGCTCTATCAGGTGACCTCCGCTCAGAAATGTTGGTATACGTGCAATTTCTGATAAATAAATTAAAAAACACAAAGGCTGCTCGTCTCAGCCCGATGGGTTAGTCTGCTCGCCTGACACACAACCAGCCCCGATGCAGGGAGCGAGTGCCAGCACTGGAGCTCCTGCATCCATCACCAGCTGAGAACAACAACAACCTGCTCCGGTCTGCAATACCCTTTGTAGGTGATTATAGGAAACAAAAAGGACTAAATTTAAAGCAGGTTTTCAGCTGGGGAGGGGGGATCCAAACCTGCTGACTGAGGAGGAGAACAAAGCCAGATGGCATCTGCTGGTATTGCTGGGGATTATGCAGCGTAAGGCAATAGGAAATGAGCAGAGAAAAAGACCCGGTTTGGTCCCACGGCTCCTCTCTTGCCAAATGAACATAGTGGGGCGACCATGAAACAATCAGTTTATGGGTTTCATTCCCCTCCACCCCCAGACTGAAGTTAAATATTTGTATAAGTCCAGGCGTAACTTTTATCTGCTGTTTTCCTTGGGGTTTACTAGCTGTTTAGAGCATTCAGGCTAAAAAGCATTCCCTCAAACTCTTGCCACAAAAAATGCTGAAACTATGATACTAATTAAAACCACACTCTTTGGTATCAAGAAGACATGCTATTCTTTTCTTTTTTTTGCTCATGAGAAGCTGTTAATATGTGCAACGCGTCTGGAACATTTTCCTTCCAAACGCCGTGCTCCATACCCCCCCCTGCTCAGGTCAGCTGGTTTGTGAACTTGTCAGCAGGCTGGGGTGGGAAGGTTCAGACTTACAAGAATAGGTTTGGGTTTGGTTTTTTTTTTTTCATAACAAGCCATTTGACAACTTAACATTATGAAAAGCACATCAAGAGAAAAAACAAAAGCTTTATGGTGCATGAAAGGTAATGAACTAAAGAACTGTGCTGCCTTGGTGCCCAATGGGCCAAATTAAGGGATGAATATTGCCAAAATATACTATAAGTTTTGAAAAACAGCCTCTGCCTTTGCCAGGACACTCCTGGACACTCAGTACAGACCAGGAAAAGATGCAGGTCACAGTGGGTACCACCCCTGATCCACCTTGGGGTAAGGTCTGTTAGAGACAAAGGTAAGATTTCGTGCTCATTTTACCCCATCGAATTCAGAAGCCTCTAAGGGTTCCACTATTGTGGTATCAACACTTCATAAACATTAACAAAATTATCCTTATAACATTTCAGGGGAAAAAGCTATTATCACATTTAAAGGATGGAAAATTAAGGCACAAAAAAAAATCAAGGGCCAGTTTTGGGTTCAGTGCAATATTCAAAAGCATCCATGTATATCCCAAGAGGTCTAAGTGTGGTTAGAAAACAAGTTTCCTTGTCCAAGAACAAACAACAACGCCTCATTGAGAGCAGTAATTGCACCGCAGAAGTGCAGGGAGCAGGGACAACCGGCTGCTTTGGGCCACAAGGCTGCATTGCTACGAGGAAAACCAAAGTGGCAGGAGGGATGCTCCGGGAAAGACACCTGCCCCGCAAGCGTCACTCTCAGGACCAAAATAATAAGTAAATAATGTTTCATCAGAGCAGTTTGGTTTGTGCTTTCTGTTTGGGAGTGTGGCTTTCGCCATGTTGACTCAAAACAAAACTCAGCTTCCCTTTTTCACAGCCGCAAAGATGCCAGATTTTCATTCCTGGTGGCGCAAAGTGCAAGCAGAGGAGGAGGGGGCCTTTCGGGGCTCTGATTTTTTTTTTTTCCCCTGATATTTTAGCTTTGAGCAAGATCCTGTCTGGTTAGCAAGCTTCTAGGTTCGCCAACAATACAGAAGAACTGCCTAAGTTACAAAAACAAGTTAATACATAAAAAATATGACTTCAGCAAAGCAGTTAAGCTAGACGGGTGAACACGCTGTAATTTGTTACATGCTTCCATTGCGCGGCGATCCAAAGTAATAAAATATTCCTGTAATGCTAGAACCACGAGGCCCAGCCCCAGTATGATGTTCAGATTCCAGTATTAGCTGTGCCACACCATCCCCTGGCTCACCACTCAGCAGCAATATGCCACCTACCTCCCCCTCCCCAACACCGCCCTCCCCAGCACCAGCGTCCCTAGCACTGATGTCCCCAGCACCGACGTCCCCAGCACAGTGCTCCACTTGCTATTTCATTTTGAATTTCACTCCAAAGAAAGATCAAGTCACGAAGTTATGCAAGTGGCCACAACACTGGGATGCTGAGATGACATCTCACATCAATTTAATGCACCAGTAAAGCACAAGCCCATCTGCATCCAAAGCGCCATTGGAGAATCCCCGGTCTGGACTGTGTGGCCGCGGGGGAGGGCTGGGAAGGGCAGGGGCTGCCTTGCAGACCTCCCATCCCCTCCATCCTGCTTTTCATTTGAGGCTGACAGGCGAAGCTCGAACACATCATTACAGCCTGGAGGAGGCTGCGAAAGGTAACACTCATGTTACAAATGAATTAATAGGAAACACTTACCTTCCCCACTAGCTTGCCTTTCCTGTTCATGCAAAGGTAGAAGTCTGTCTCCTTCCCTTTGATCCGGACTTGGCTGCCAAAAGTGTCTGTTTCCACTAGAAGCTGGGCTTGTAAAGGAAGAAGAAAAAAAAAAGCATTTACCAATGTGGTCCCATTAAGCCATCAGCGTGTTGTCCCATCACCTCTATGACCCACACCACGCTGGGACGCTCTGTGAGGGGACAACCCAGGAACCACCCAGGGGCTGAGCTCCAGGCTTGGTCGCAGGTGCAGATCTGACACATCTCCACTGACTCCTACGCAGATACTCCAGATTTAGGGCCAGTTTAGGACAGAACACACACATACACGTGTGCGCTCCATCAGTCTGCACCAACCCCACCACCCCATCAGCGAGATAAAGCTCAATGCTGATGCTGCCCTTCACGCTGCAGGAGGGTTTTTGGAGGGTAAGAACATGGATTTTATTCTCATGAAGATAAAAGGCTAGCATGACAGGAATGAAACTCCTTTCCCCACAGCCAGCAGCCCTCCAACATTTCACAGAAGGGGTCCAGCCACAAGCTCATGGTGCAAAACACCGCAGTGAGCTCCTGGAGACCACCGCAACGGCTATCAGGGAGAAACTCAGCACTGCTCGTTCTGCCTGATGGACACCCGCCCTGCAGACATCCTCTGTGTGTCTACCTATGCTCCCAGGAGGACACTAATTGCTTTCTTGGCAGGCCAGGTCTGTGACTCCGGCTCTAGCTGGGAGAAATGTGGCCAATCTCATAGTGCCTCGCACGTTTATCGAGGGCAGAGCTGGTTCGCAGCATTGCCAGGCCCACGCCAGAGGACAGATTTCTGCTGCAGCTTCATAACCACCTGCCCCGACACAACGGTATTTGCAGAAGTGGCCGAGCTGCCACCCAGATGTGTAGCGTGCCATCAGCATCTCAAAAAGCTAGACACATCCGAATGCAGTGTTTCATTCTCTTTCTGATCTAAACACGAATTCCAGTCATGCTCGAGGTTCGGATTCCAGGAATTTCCCTGGAGAGGCAGGAACACGCAGACTGGACATTTTGGTTCAGATCCGTCTCTGATATGGAGGGGGAGAAAGGAGCCACGGTCGAAACACAATGCAAGAATGTGTAAGTGTCAGCAAGTGCAAATCCACGCTCCTGCTCTGGAAATACTCACGCTTGTAAGACTCAAGCTTAACCGTAGAAACATGGCTTTTGCCAAACTCTGGAGAATGTTTGATCTGTGCTGCAAAAAGTCACATTCTTTTTGGCCTTCATATTTCAAACTTTAAAACCCTCTAAGAGCAAATATGTTCACTGTAAGGATTTACCATGGGGATAGAAATAGGAGTTTGTTTCATTTAAACACATTAATATTTTTCCCACTTGTAAAGTCAGATTTTGGCTTCTGCAGCAGGGCAAATATCACAAACCTTTAACTCACAAGGGCCCCAAATGGAGTTTTCCCTTTGCGCCTCAGTCAATTATGCAAGCTCAGGGTTTTCCAGTTACTAACTGCTTACATTTATTTAGATCTATTTGTTAAGCCTTTATCACAGGGGATATTTAAAGAATAACTTCTTTCTGACAGCAAGTGGGATAATGCCTGAATTATAGCAGAACATTACTTGCAATCGTGCATAAATATGGATATTTATCTAAGTCTTTCAGAAATACACCAAGGGTTTGGGTTTCTCTGATGGAGAACAGCTTGCCAGCAACAGCCGGGTGCTGCAGGCTTTCTTTCCACACCTGCCAAGGTGGCATCGAACCAGTGACCACTTCAGCAAGGAAGGGCTACGTGAACCAGAAATATCCCGTTGTAGTGAGGCTATAAAGATGAGAAAGGCCAGGATGGTGGAGGATGGCACAGGGTCAAAGAGCATAGAATCATTAAGGTTGGAAAAGACCTCAAGGATCATCAAGTCCAACCATCAACCCAACACCACCCAACCCACTAACCCATGTTCCCAAGCACCACATCGACACGTTTCTTGACCCCCTCCAGGGATGGTGACTCCACCACCTCCCTAGGTAGCCTGTTCCAATGCCTGATCACTCTTGCAGTGAAGTCATTTTTTCTAATATCCAGCCTAAACCTTCCCTGGTGTAACTTGAGGCCGTTTCCTCTTGTCCCATCACTTGTTACTTTAGAAAAGAGGCCAGCACCCACCTCACTGCACCCTCCTTTCAGGTAGTTGTAGAGAAGGGTCTTTAAGGGGAAGATGAGCAACACGGTGTATCACTTGGTGAATGCTCACTGCTTCAGTAAGTTCAGGGAGGCTGCTCAGATGCAATGCAGCATTAACAGACAAGGGAATGGCCAAAGGTATGACTGTCTTTAAAGGGGTGGCTGTGAAAGGTCTTACCCCCAAGTGGCAAGGGCATTATGGGGACTAATGGTCACCTGCAGACAAGGGAAGGTTATCGAGCCAGCACAAGAGGTCCCCAAGATTGTCCCAAGGACCACAGCCAACACCCAAAGCACCAAAGAGCAGCCCACATATCTACAGTGTTGAACCCACCCAGGGTTCCATGCAAATGGAGCTGGGGCCACCCGCTGAAGGGGTCAAATGAGGGCTCCCCAGCTTGCACACAGGCAAGAACAGGACACAGCACCTTCCCCTCTAAGCTGCAAGGCCTCCCCGTCCATTCCAGCCTCAGCGCTGCAACTGAAGCTGCTGAGAACAACGCTGAATATCAGCCATGGGGTTTGGCCAGCCAGAGTAGGAGCTAACATTGATAAAGCACTCCCATGCGAAAGCCTCGATCCGTGATCCCGCCAGACAGTCGGCAACCTGCACCTCTCCGATGCTGGTCCCCCCCAGCACCCGCGCTCAGATGGACAAACACGGGGCATGCCGGCTGGCGTTCCCCACCCCCTCGCTCTGCAGCCAGTATGAGTAATATCCAAGCTGATTTTAATTTGAAAAATATCACCTTAAAAAGATGCCGGTTCCCTGCTGTGAAAATGAAAACCATCTGGCTGGAGTGATTTCAAATAATTAATCTAGGTCTCCTTTGACACCACTACTAATTAAAATATGATACCTTCCTCCCCCTTTTTAAATAAAGAATTTAAATAAAGTTTAAAGATCTCATAAAATAATGTCATAATTTAGAACTAAATGGAAGTCACCTTTCCTACGGGCTGTAAAAGTTACACCAGCGCCAAGACCCCTCCCAGGGTAGTGCCACGGCACGAACCAAGCAGCAGCAGATGGGCAAGCACCCGGTGTGACACCCACACCAGTAAATACACCAGTACACATACCCCAGCACCCCGAGGAGGCTTGCAATACCTAGAGATCATCCCACACCCAATGTCTGGGAGTGGGGAGCAGAGGGAAGGAGGTTCAGCAAAAAAGGGGGACCCCCAGCTGCCGACACACAGGCTAAGGCCACCCACGGGTACCCACTGCTGCAAAATCTGAGCCTTAAGATGTTGGAAACAGGTTCTTATTTCTAGGGATCCTTGACTTCCTTTACTACAAGAGAGATCAGTACAGCTTCAGGGTTGGGTTCATAACCCAGCTGCCTTCCAGGCCAAGGCACCCCTTTTTGATTCTCCTTTTTACAACAGGCATCTCCCCAGATTCTCTCAGGAGCCTAGACAGGGACCTTGGATAATACATCCAGTCAGCTAAAATCAGCTGGGATGAATCCAGGTGCAACAAGAGTTTCTGGGGGATGGAGCTGGCCCAGCAGAAGGGGTGCTGAGGTCTCCCCCAACTCACATGCAGCAGGAGAAGAGCTCAGTCACCACCAGTGGTGACTTGGATTTAAGTTAATGTCAAGTGGACCTGGCTTGCTGTCTTGTTGCTATGATAAAGATGTTCTGGCCACAACGAAAGCGCCAGGGAAAATCCAAGAGAATTTCCATTGACAGCTCAGGTAAAATAAGTGCCACCAAGCTGGAGCAGTGTCCCCACAGCAGGCTGCGGCTCCGGACACCTGCCTGCCAGCTCCGTTAGTCCACGGATACACCATAGAGAAATCACCATCTTTATTTTCAAAAGCCCTGCACTCTAGCCTTCAGATCAGGTATTATTGTTTAAATTCTTTGACAGATAGGTATTCTGATATATTTTCCAGGGGAAAAAAAAAAAAGAGGGAGAAAGAGAAAAGATGTCTTTAGTGGGTAAGATCTTCTGCTACATGCTTTTGCCTTATTGGCCCATTTAACCTAAACCTTCCTGAAAACTCCCACTGGAAGAGACTGGAATTCCTCACATGTCTAGGTGAAAAGGATTACACATATATATATGTTGAAAAGCTATCTTCCAGCTAAGAAAACATGAAGCCAGGGAGATATGTGAAGGTGGCAGAAAATATGCCAAATTATCTTTCAAATATTTCCTGGGAGTGGGAGGATGGGAACCAGAAAAGCACAGGGAAAGAAAGGAGAAAGAAGACACCTGAGAAGTGTGAGGTTTACATGTACCTATCACAAAATCCTAAGCACAGCCAGCTTCAGATAAATAGAGATAAAGGGGAAAACACAAGGAAGGTGCAGAAGGACTGGATACTTCGAGACTATCTACTATTGCCTTTTTTTTTTTTTTTTTTTTTTTGGGAGGTAAAGATCCTGCCAAAGGAGCAGCAGAGAGAAAGAAACTACAGCCGCTCACGCTGCCCATGGGCATCTTGAAGCTCAAACAGATTTATTTCCTGGGGGAAAGGCTCTCAGGGGGAAACAAGATTTTGCTGCTTTTGTCGCGCTTTTTTTTGTGATGCAATTACAAAGTCAAGGAAACCATTCTCAGCCCTTGAACCCATTGCCAGTTAACGAACAGGAAGGATGCATGGGTACACCGAGGCTGGGACCACAGTGTCTGTGATGGAGAGCAGCTTCCCAGTTCAGTTACTCCGCTATGAATGCAGACAAAGCACCTTTCTGCAGTTCACAGCACGTATCGCATCTGATGGGAGAGTAAAATTCACTCTCTGGTCAGACTGAATCTTCCAGTGAGAACCCCAGCATGGCCAAAGGTGCTTAAAATAACTGAAACCTGTTCAAACACAGCCTACCCCCTACCAAAAGCACGCGAATCCCTTACACGACCACAGCATAGGAGAGAATGACCCTGTCTCCACTT